CAACTGAAGTCTGGCACTTGGCGCTCCGAACACTGACAACTAGCCACTCTTTTGCTATGAACTCAAGGCGCCTGCGGTACGCAAAGTCTTTCAAGTACAATCTAGCACTGACACTATACAGGCTGCTACTAACACAAGCTGACACGGCTTCCTAAAAGAGCTCGACAAACGACAGGGTACTTTCACAAAGGGAAAATATTATGATTGAAATGTTTTCCGCACAAGCCAGCCAGGAAGACTGAAACCAGAGTGTTTGGCAGGCCCCTTTTGGCCATGCTGTGTCACCCGCTGCACCCTCCCGCAACATCTTGTCGAGCCCAAGTCGGATTCTTGATTTTAGCAGTGTTTGGCAAACCACTGCTGAGGTAGATCATTGTTGTTCGCTTGGATGAAGGATCCTGAGTCCTAGCGTCCTAGCGAAATGCGAAGCCGTCGCCATATCATGTGGGCGTTCTTGTCGTCGCACATCGCTTTTTTGCTGGCATATCATTGACCAGGACATCAACTTTGCAGTGGACTCCATGACTCAACCCCACATTTCGAGAGACTGCATATATGCCCTGCAGACTTCTACAGCACATGAAACAAAAGGGACGTCGGGAATTATCTTCTCTGGAGGACTTACCTGGGGAATATTGCATCTGGGCCTCTCGCTTTGCAGAGGTGCAAACGCATCGAATGTTCGATGGAGAAAGTATCGACATGGTGTACGAATATGGGGGCTGAAGATAGCTTCAGCACCATCGTTTGATGCTCACAGCACCAGGATATCCTTGACACTCTTCTCAGATGCTTCGGCAAGAGATTGCCGTCGAACATTCGACAGGAGCCGGTCTTCACACATCTGCACCACACGTCGGCCAGAGCATCCAGGAAACACCTCTTTCTGCCTTTATGCTGATTTCTTATGTTCTTCGCGCGTATTGTCCCAAGTCCTTTAGTCAGCTTCACGGAGTATCTATAACATGTCACTTGTCAAAACAGGTCCCGGTTCAAAGTCCGTCCGTGTGATATGTGAGCCACGGCAACCAGACATGACATGCTTGAGCATCCCCCGCAAACATCATATGAAAACTCGCAAGTGCGTGGCTCGTCTTCACCGCGCAGCTTCTCCTCCATCTGCCTCACAGCCTGCAATTTGAGATCCGATCAGCCCGTGAGAGCTCTGGACGCTGAAAGCCTCCAGGTCGCCGGACTGGATCCGCCTGAGCCAAGCCGAGTCTCGGACTTCAGTGCGAAAAACAGCAGAGTAGGCTGCAGATGGCTGCCACTAGCTTCTCGGCTGCACCTCGCGAGCTCTTGCAGAGAGGCCGGCGCTGGGCCAGCTGGCTTCGGCGAAGCCTCTCCGGATGCGACCAGAGAAAGGGAGGAGCGTCCGGCCCGGCCGACACCGGCGGCCTTGGCAGATTGTTGAATTTTGGTCGTGACCTGCGCGCGGGCCGGTGGGAAGCAGACTGGACTGGCCCAGGCAAGAGTCCGAAGCCCAGCCTTGGTCGAGGAAGCAGCTGAAGCTCCAGTCTTGGTGTCCTGACACATTGAGTGCCATATGCGAATCTTCTGACGGCGTGGGAAACTGACCACTCATGAACTCCGGGGCAGAGGCTGCTTTTGGTTTCTCGGATGCCACTGCATGACCTCAAAGTGCAATGCCACTGAGAAACTGCTGGTGCGCCGTTGCACCCTGCCTGGAAAACGCTGCGCAAGCAGACTGAGCATGAGCGAATGCTGCCGGCTGCTCAAGACATCCACGACCTGCGACAGCTGCAGGGCCCTTTGTTGGGAGTCGCATGCCAGGCCTTGGGCGCTCCATCGACTGCTTCAGCGAGTAGTATCTCCGGCAGCACGTCAGGCCTGCGGCACGCAATACTAACGCCCATCCAGAGCTGACAAGGCCCCGACTAGGCCCTGAGGCCGTAGGCCTCGGAGTGAAGTCTATCCATGTGCCGTCCTCAGTTTAGAGCCGTCAAGAAGGATGCGATGCACACTCGTGCCCTGAGGCAGCTACGGGCAGAGAATTCCACCAAAATCGCTCTGCCACAAAGGCCTCGCTGACACCTTTGTCCAAATGCTCGTACCTTGATGGTGGCAATGCCAAGATGCCTTCAAGGACAATGCCGGACGCTTGGACTGCCACACTGCCCAACCGCGGACGACATCCATGCCAGCGGCCTGCACCAAGCGTGGAATCATTCAGTCAATAGCATGGAGAAGAAGCTGGCCTTGGCAACACGTTCCGCGTTCGAGAAGCTTTGAAGCGGATAAAACTTCAGGCCCTGTTGTGCAGAGCACGAGTGGCCAGAGTCACTTGCAAGGACAGCAACTATTGTGTCTGCCTTGACCATAGACAACTGCGAGGCGTCAGGACCTGGCACGCTTCGCCCGAATGTGCTTCAAAGTCTCATCGGACGGCGAAAGCCACGATTGCTGTCACGGCAGGCCTGGAACCACTCCAACCTTGCAGCTCGTCTGGAGATGGATGTCACGACCGAACTACAAGTGTCCCCTTTTGTGGAACCTCACTGCGACCAAGGGGCCTTCTTTCCTGCACACTTCCCCTTCTTGCCAACTAATTGCTTCAGCGCCTTGCTGGAGCCATAAACACCGGGCCAATCCCTCGGAAATCCAACCTGTCCGGAAACAGGACGTGGCACACCGCAGGCGTAGCACATAACAGACGCGTACGCTCTGTCCAGCTGAGAAGCCTTTCCAAGGTTCTCGGCATCTAGGTCCGCAGTGGACACAAAATCGTCGCTGTCCAACCAGTATCCCTGGTCGAGCATGGCATGGTGGCATGGAGTGGAACACTTTCAGCACAGCAAGATGAATCAGCCTGGCTCTTGCCAACAGTTGCTTCCTGGCCGTCTGCATCAAGCAATCTAGCCATGCCTGAGCTTGTCAAATCACGGAAAGCAATCAAGCAACAGCAATGCCCACGGCACAACTCAAGAAGCGCAGAAGCAGACTGTCCAGAAGAAGGTGCCGAATGCATCGACAAGTGGCTCAAAATTGCGATAAAATCTGCTCTACATTGGTCAATTCCGTGCAAAGAGCCGCAACAGCTGCAAAATCGAGATCCGGCGAGGTGACCAAGAGAATGGCAAGCATGCCCATGGGCACTTACAACTCGTCAGTCCGAGCTTTCGACGACCCAGATGAGTCTGCCCAACCTCTCTCGCCCAGTGTAAATGCAAAAGTAACAAATGACGGACGGTATTCAACAAGTGCGTTGTTTCCCAGGGCCGGAAGGCTACCAAATGTGCGGTGGAAATCTCAGCCTTAACAGATTGCCTAATCGAATGCTGCGGCAGTACAACCGTCTGACAAAGTAGCCCTGAACATGCGCAAGCGTTGGGGCAGCGGCCAGTCGGGCCAAGATCAAATCCTAAAAGCCGATCGGCACCTGAGTGCTCGAAGCTAACGGCGAGCTGATCAATCAATCAATCAATCAATCAATCACGGCATCTCGGTTTCACACGGAGGTGTGCTCGAAGCCTAGCGGCCGAACTTGGCCACGAGCAGGTGGCACCTTTGCTGGGCTTGCTGGAGGCCCAAAAATACAAGGAGAACAGCAAAAACACATCCTAGTGCATACTTGGGGTTCAAAACTTCGGTTCAATCGAGGGCTTGGCTGCCGCCGATACCAATCGCATCCTCTGGAATCTGCCCTCGAAAGCATCGCTTCAAAAGACATCTAAACATGCGAAAAGATAAATATACCAGCGTTAGGCCTTCGTCTGCAGCCAACCAAACACAACTGGGATCCCACGATGGCCTGGCTTGCGCTTAGTCTGGATGCCGCGAAGCCATACCACAGACAAACGTCAGCATCGCACCCGACATCTTCAACCGAATCCGGATCTTCCTTCCAGTGCAGCACTTGCTTTCCCTCGTTTCGTCACTATAAACTCAAGCCTCCTCTTCCTGCTCTTCGGGATCAGTCGCGTAGACGAAGAGCCGCGGCTTCATGCGGAAGCACACCTTGTGAGCAGCTCAGTAGCTCGTCTGGGTCCCTCGCAGATCTGCGACGAGCACTGGGACACTGTCCTTCCGGTCCTCCACTTTCGAGACCTGCAAAGTGACCCACATCGATTCAAGCTCTACAATCTACAGTATATAGCTCCCTTTTTGACGACGCCGCCTTTAGCGGCAATTGCCTCATCTCGCCAAACGAGGCATGCTGTAGATGCACACGGCAATCTCCAATGGGCAGCATCCTCAGGCTGGTGCAGTTCAGTCAGACTCTTAGGACTCGTATTTCGAGGCAACAAAACTCAGCACGCCGTCACACACGCAAGACTGGGGACGGCACAGCTGGCAGGTGCCGGAGGAGTCCGTGCGGCAGGTGACGCTCTCAGCCGTCACACTCACATCTCCCAACGGCTCACCACAGCAAGCTGTAACCTGAGGAGATGCAAGGCCAAGCACATCAAATCCAAAGCCGACCAAGAAGCAAAGGGACAGAAGCACCCTTACAAGCTCTAAGCGAAGCAAAGTCGCGACGGCAACGTGGACCCGCACCATTTGATGGGCACGAATCATCCAACCGGGCCGGATACTCTCGCCATCATCCAGAAGTCGCTCAGAATCGTCGGAGGCAAGCGGTAGCAGTCGCAGCTGTATCGATGTCGCCGAAAGTAAGCCTAGCTTCTCGGCGACCACATCCTTCGCAGATGCGAGCGCAAAGAGGTCTCCGCCGCTCATTCATGCGAATATCGGACGTGCACAAACCCAGCTCTGCCGGCCAGCGTCCCGCAGCGCTTCCGCCGTGGGATGATCCGCTATGGAGATGCTGATCGTGGTACTAGAATCCTGCGCAAAGTCCAAACTGTGCTAAAAGCTGCTACCTCACGTCAGCCAAAACTCGCACCAAATTCCCAGCAAACAACTGTCCAGTCGCACGAGTGCAGTTGGCTTCAGATACCCCATGGCCACCGGACAGTTCAAGAGGCGTAGATATTCAGAACCACCAAGCTCCTGTGTCCGACATGAACTTCACTTTTTATTGGGTACTCATGTATCAGCGAGAACTCCTCGAGCCGTTCAGCCAGGGGAGATGGCTCTTTCGGCTGCCACTCGAATCCAGTGCGTGAGGCTGCAATTTGCAGGCCTGCCAGGCCTGCGAAATCTGCTATGTTTGATTTGGGAGAACAGGAGCGAAATCCCTACCCAACCCTACGATGCTAAAGCCGAAGCCGAGACGCTGCAGGCGGGACGTCTTGAGACTTGCTCGCCGGACCTGGGCGCACAGGGCTTAGACACACTGATGCATGTTCGCTCTACACACAGCTGTCTGCGTTGCAACATACGCAGAGATAGGGTACGGCAACGGGCAAGCTTCGGAACGAACTCAAAAATTCTGAACGCCGCCATGTCAACCCGTATCCATGCACAAACCTAGAGGACAGGGGCGACACAACCTACAAGGACAGTGACCAAACACTCTGCACCTGCTGGTGGGGCATCTGCGACCGACCGCGAAGGATCAGACAGAAATAGGATCGAAAACGAAATCAGCTTCTCCAGAATCGAGGTGCAAACAGAAAGACCTGTGATGGCCTCAGTAGTCCCTTGCACATGCACACTCACAGACACACCAAGAAAGAAACCTGCATTAATAATAACTTCTTCGAGGAGGTGATACAGCAGGAAGTCCAACTTGTTCTTATCCGTCACCTGTCGACATCCAGCCGAGCCCAGTTGCAACACATCTTCTGAGGTTTGAACCTTGCACTCCTTCCTACACTGAATCCTGCACCTTTCTCATAAAAAGTTTCTTGGGCTTCTCTGCAGGCCCTCAACTTGATGCCACTGGATAGGCAGGAAGTAAGCTGCGGCATTGCAAGCCGAAATCAAATTTCGCCGCCCCTTCCCGGCGATAAAAATTTCTGCACATCCTAGAACTACGGTACTGTCACACTGATCAGGCTGAAGAAAACAGCGAAAACAAAACAAAACGAAACTCTTGCTCTTGAACGTCCCCGGCCGAGACACAGTACAACGAATTCGGTAGGCCGCGATGCACTTAGAGAAGCAGAGATGTCCTGATCATGGGCAAATCAGAGCCGTCTGAGTAGTAACACGGTCCCGTCTGACTTCCTTTTCGCCGACGCGGCATTGCACGCTTCCGGCGATCCCCAGAGCATCAGGTGGAATCTGCTCCTGAGATCGGCCAGGGCTCTCGAGTGGTGTTGATGATGGGTCAGGCATTCGGCATGGCTGAGTGCGGGCTCACTTTGAGCAGAGTCTCTGCTGATGCACAGATCCAAACCAAGGATGGCTGGCATCCTGCATCCTCCCATTCGGTATCACACAACCTGCTTTGACTCACTGAATGCTCAGTCCTCGTCATCTGCATCTGCCTCTGGATCTGTCGCGAAGATGTACAATCGAACCTTGCCGCAAATCGCGCCAACAAGGCCAGAGATCTTATCAGAATTCTGACAGCTTGTCACTCTCAGCACCCTGCATCAGCAAATGTAATGCAGCAGTCCTCTTGGCTGGGTATCATGAAGTTGTGAAATCTTCCGTCTCCGAAGCTTGGATGCCTGCCAAGGGTGCCACGCGGGTTAAAATTCAACAGGGCAGGTTCAGCACCAGGCATACGACGTCGACATGCTTGTGCTGAGCACAGAGCCGCAAGTAAGCAGAGCGCTTGCCATGAGGCAGCATCAGCTGGATACAGCCATCCTAATGCTTGCGGACTGCCATTTCGACAGATACCCGATTGCCATGATTCGCTGAGGTTCCGCATCAGTAGATCCGTAGCTCGTATCGTCGACTTCCACAATGACACCACTGAGGCCTTGCTCTTCTTGCGTGTCAGGCAGCAGAACCTGAACATGCAAAGGGCTGCAATGTCTTTCTGTGGACTCGCCAGGCCTGCACATGCAGGGGAGATAGAAACGCTGCCGCCAGCTCCAGGTCTGCAGTCAGCACCGTATCGTCGGCAAGAGCCCTTCCAAGTCCACCCGTCTTCGACAAGTTGTACAGTCCCACATCCTCGGCTCTGCCGTATGCAAAACAAACCACAACCCCCCCAACCCCCCCCCCCACGTCCCACAAGTCAGGCTCATTTGTCGAAGGCTCGTCGAGATCGCGAGAAAACCGGCTTCCCAACCATTTGCGAAGTGCCAGAGTGGTCGGACATTCGGCTAAAGGAGCAGGCAACTGCTGCCAGCCCTTCCTTCCCCCGACAGCTTGCATATGCACCAACACAGCTGGCAGCAAAGCGCCAACCTGACAATTCAATGGAGAACTCGACCCAATCGCAAGGAGCGGGGATGATATGAAATTGACTGTGGAAGACACTGGGCTTGACAATATGTGCACGTCATGTGGCCAGGCAGGAGGCTTCTTGAAACGCACTCCCGGTTCAGAGTGTTCGTGGGAAAGGCTCGAATTAAAGATCTATGACTTGAGGATAGCACGGGTGGAGCTGGCAAAGTGGCTTCCAAAGCTCAAGAAGAACCTTCACGAGTCACAAGATCTGAAAGAATCATACTTGCGACTTTCTCAAGCACGGCAGCAAGAGATTCTAGACATGGCAGCAGATAAGTGAAGCCACAGTGCACGGCAACAACACAACGGAAACATGAAAAATGTGTCGACACAGATTGCTGCTATGGGAAATTCGCGCGTGTCCTCCGCTTCGAGAGACTTGGTCAAAACTGCATCCAGGCAGCACACACCGGGCCAGCCACGAGGCTGTCCAGCACACATGCCATGGACCGGCTCGACCCCTTCGAGAGTCTTCTGCTGAAAGCCAGCACCGGGCCAGGCTTCGACGTGCCTTGGGCGTCCGTTCAACTTGCGTGCAGGGGACAATTGCATTACATGCATCGAACATGCTGTGAGATGCTGTGAGGACCGACAGACAGGCTGACAAGTCACCGGTATCAACTCGAAGCCTCTGCAAGGGGCATTGGTCTCCCATTCTGGGGTTGCGCCAGGGCAACTTAACCGGTGAAGCATCCGCAAGTCGAAGAGCTCCATCCATGCCGTCAACCAGGAGCGTGCCGTGCAGCTCCGATCCCTAAGGCCGAAGCAAATCTACGGCTGCTACGGGAAGCTCGGACTCGCAGCACTTCCACTTAGAGTCAAACCCTGGCTTCGGGAGGCGGCTCCGTCACCGACACCCAGACCTTGAAGAAGTCCCAAAGTTCAAGCGCGGGGCGATCTGCCGAGGTCACAGCCTCTTCCTGACTATCGGCGTTTGGTACGATGGCCCCGTCTGCCTCCAGAGCATGCCAATTCTGTTGCGACCAAAGCGCTAGCAAGTTCGTGCTATCACGGCCTCATCTGGGAGTGGCGTTGAGTAGACTTGCACACGAGGTTCTGCATAAATTTCCTGTAGGCAGCATTGCACGAGCGGGGCTGCTAGACGCGAAGATGCTTGCACAGTTGCGCTGAGGCGTGTTCCAGTACAGATTCCCCCTGTGCACCTGAGGCGGTGGTTTGCACCATGCTCCGTCAAACAAACCCTCTTCGACAGCAGCGGCCTCTCGGGTCCACCGCAATCTCTCGGCGACCTGATGCTAAGCTCAAGCGCAAGATGGCAAACGCTAACTTGAGCTTCTTAGGAGCAGACCAAGCAGGGGGTGACAAACCTCAATCCGGTGGACTTCGTCAGGAACCATCAGCTCGCACCTTCCATCTCCACCTGCAGTTATGCGAGGACATACGGGCATGCTGGGCCATGCAAGTCGACAACTTCCCAAATTGTGAGGCCTGTGGACCCCTCTGCCCAAGGCGATCCTGCGCAACTGGCAGCTGCATCTGCCGATTGGCGAACATCTTGGTACCCACATGCTGGCTGCTGGCCGCAAGTTTGCTTTTCTTGGGGAGGAGGGGGCACCATGCCTGGAACGTAGCTGGCATCCATTGATCTTTGGACATCCCCCTGCCTGCGTTGATCCAAGTTGCTTACCAGCATTTCTAGAATTCAGAGAGCACAGAAGCTCAGTCAAGGGCCAGTCTCGCTCCATGTCAAAGTAGGCGCAGACTGTTGCACCACTCAAGCCTCTCGAGCCTTGGTTGTGAAAAGCTGCCCGGCCCTTTCCACAGGCCGGAGGCCGGACCTGGGGTCTTAGCAACAAGGCGCTCGCAGCAGCACAGTAGTTTGGGTCAGAGCCCATACCTGAAAGACAGCTTCACAAGCAGTCGACACAAGCTCTCGGTCCAAGCGGATAGAACACGGGCCCTTACGTCAACGCTCGTCCATGCTGGCACCTGCGCCAATTGATTGTTATGGTACTGAGTACTGTGTTAAGACTGACGTACGCGTGGTGTTCACAGCATGGCGGGGAAGAAATGTCCGTATCGGGATAGCGACAGCATGCCGCAACAGAAGGCTTCACGCTACACCAGTGCGCATTGCGATAGGCCGGTGACAAGCAACACCTTGGCACCTCATTGTCATCACTGATTCGCTTCTGATCAGAAAAGACTCCCAACCTTCGTTGCTTGGCTCCGGCAGAGCAGAGGAGAAGCACAAGAAGGCCACATGTTCGAAGAAGGATGGCTCATAACTCTCCAAGCAGAGCACGAGCTAGCGGCTTTGCGGAATCTCTTTGCCATCACCTGAAGGCAGCAGGACATGCAGGCACTGTGAGGCACTCTTAGCTCAGAGGTCCTCTCGCACAAGCCTCGCAAAGCTTTCCAGCAGTTCGGCAGTCGAAGGCCGCCACTTGCATGATACTTGTCTTCTTGTAGAAGTGAGCGCGCACCGTAATTGGAGGAAAAAGCCTCGCTTGAGATCTAAGATTCCACATGATTGCGCGAACGTACCAGAAGCATCCCCCCTGAAGCAGTGCTTCCATTCTGGATCGAGCACTTTCCATCTCAATGCGTCACCAAGATGCCGCCCCACCGACATGGGCTTCTCCAGAAGCCGCTTCCAAGATGATTGCGTGCCAAGCAAGCTCTCGCTTTTCTGCCGCCACACATATCCGGTCTCCGACAAGTCCAGGGCAAGGCCTCGGCGTGCCACGAAATGCTCAGCAGCATGTAAACAAAGCTATTCAAGCATCTTTTGATTCCAGTGCGGGACAAGCTGCTCAATGTAAGAGGCTTGCGCTTGCCCTCGAGTGCGTTGGACAGCTCAACGGACCTCAAGCCAGGAGATGACAGCTGTTTCCTCGCATGAGGAACCACATGAGTCAGTGGAAGATCTACATACCAGACCAGAGGTGTTGGATCTCAACCGAAAACGTGAACCGCAAGAGTATTTCTCATACTGGTTTCGGCAGGTCTTTGATGCACCTTTTGCTACAGCCTATTAATACAGCCTCCGGACAGAGGACAGAGCAAGCCACCCTCCGCCCTCCAGCCTCAGCATCTCCCCGTCAAGCGGAGCTTCCAATGTGCCGGACTGATCAGACAGTAGCACCGTTCCTGCGACGGGCCAGGCTGTCAGTGGCAGATGTTCCTGATGAGCACAGAGCCACACCTTGGCTACTGTAGGTCCGACGCCGGACACGCAAAGGCCACAAGGCATGAAAAGCTCCTTCCAGTCACAGCTCAGGCACGTTGGTGGGAGCATTCGCTCCTATCTCGGAGTCCGGCGCTTGTAAGTAAACAAACAAACAGGCCGGCACCGAAACTTCCAAGCGTGTTTCTACTTCGGAGACGTCGATTTCCATTTCGTCGCTGCCTTCGTTTGACATGGCGTGGTCAATTCGCACGTGGTGACGCCCGGCAGGGACAACTAGCTCACAAACACCCGAGCTGTCGGTCGTCGCAGCTTCGTTTGAATCCCGAAGCGCCACCTGCACGTTAGGAGCACCAAGTTTCGTGTTTCCAAAGGTCACAGTGATGAGCAGTCGCGCCATGATCTGTAGCTGCTGGCCAGAAAACAGCTTGGCAGATCCTTTCAGAAGCGATGCTCCGCACGCATATCTGTCCACACAGGTCTCCGGCACAGGAGATTCGGCAGCCAAAGCCAGATTTATGCTCTGGTTCAGGTGAAGCCTTTGTCTCAACAGCACGGCGGCGTCGTCGACGGTACCGCAATCTTCCAGGGCCAGGTTGAGAGTCTTGTCGTCAATGTCTTTTACATGCACCACAGGCCGAAGATGTCCTGCATGCACGTGACTTCAGCACTGAGAACTTAGCTACAAGTAGCGTAAACAACGACTCATGTCTTTGAATCGTCTTCTGGGCCTAGCGTGCGTGGCTCGCGTAGCCGTAAAAGCTCCTCATATGTGCAACTGCCTGCTGCTGGGAACCTTGCCAAGGCTGCCACACTAGCTCAAAAGCCAGCACAAACACTCAAAAACAGCCGCACCGAGCATTACCTTGCTGATTCTGCTTGGCATTTGCAGCCACGAAGCGCTTTAGAAGGGAGCCACTCATACCCTCCCAACTCCACTGCCGAGTTCGCCAAGCAAAAGATCGGACACTCCTCCACTTCTGGCGCGATTCTCACTCGTGATAGCGAAATTGCCTCTGGACTGCCTGTGCTTGACGACAGCATGTCTTCGCCACGCCCATTGCGGATGGTACCAGGAAAGGGTTCTGCATCGACCGGAATCAGGACGGAGTCACCATCACCGGCCAGAATCTGCAAAGCCAGCTGACCTCTCGGGCCCGGCACAGTGAACAGCCTAACCAGCGGCTCAAGGAAAATCGGTAGCTCCGCGACCGACTTGGGGTGTGAAGTGACGGTATATTGGCAGCATCCGCTCTCAAAGGCAGCGTGACTTGCAAAAACCTTCATCTCTGGTTCAGAATCACGGACGTCACACAACATGCAGACACCAGTCCGGTCGGTGAAAGACTGTGCTTGCTCATCAACATCTATCTGGATCCCCACCACTGGCTGACCGCAGCAGATCGTACATGCCTTCACGACCAAGGCTGCGCCGGCTTTTGCGGGAAACGGTGCAGCCGGCCGAACACCAAGAAGGTGCGGATCCCATGTCTGCCTCAGCTGTTTCAGTCGGAGTCAACCTGGATGTCTTGTTCGCCTGTGTTCGCCTTACGGCTCTGCTTTCGGAAGTTTTATACGTTGCCTACATATTGGATGCTTTAGTTAGCAATTGCAAAGTTTTTGTCGCTTCCAGAGCTATCTTGCCGTACGTTTGGCGAGCCTTGGTTTCACAAAAAAGCACACTGACGCATGCAGGCTTTGCTTGGATCGGCTCGTGCACACCTGAGAGAGCGAAGACTTGGGACGATGAGGATTTAAAAGATATCCTCATGTTTGACTCCTCCTGGATGAAGCGCAGGGGTGTGCTGTTGCTGCACCGACAACTACTGCTGTTGTTGCAATCCTCAACACCACTTGTGCGGCGTTTCTAAGCTTGGCCGGGCAACGCCCAGGAAGTCTTGAACGGTTTGGCTACTGCTTGTTGGTATCCTGATTTCTAACCGCCAAGGTGCCTTGAACAGCAATGGCAGCAACCCAGACGCGTTCAGTCTTTGAAATGGTTAGGCTTGGCTTAGGCTTAGGCTAGCTTGGCTTCAGCTGGCATAAGCCGGAAAGGCGCCCAGATGCTGCCAAAGCCAAAAGCTGAGAAGTTAGAGAGCCGGGAAGTCAGCCAAAATCAAAAAACAATAACAAACTGCTCGCTTTCAAACTGCGTTGACTCTGACATTGATGCTACGCTTGCAAAGCCAAAATACGGACATTGGCTTGTTCGCGATGCCCTTCTTGCAAACGGTGGCTCTAGATCGAAACCCAGCAGGGGATCCTTCACTCAAAGCAGGATCAGGATAAAGCCTTCTGCGAGGAAAACAGCGGAAGGTCCTCTTCGGTGCCGGGGGAGTCCGGCAGCTTCGGCTCGTGCAGCTCGCAAACAGGCTCCGAACGAAGGAGCAGTGCACCTCGGTTCCCGCGACAACACAGTGACGAACCTCAAAGCCCTCGAAACGACAGCACCGGGCCATTGTCGACATCCAACCTTAGAGCCATCAAGAAGACAAGTTTTTCACGACCGGCGAGTCTTGCGCAGCTGCCGAGGAGCTCCTGACCGCTGAACCGGACCTTGCCGCAGAACGGTTCGGAACCGTCCTGCAAGATCTTGCCACTGAGTGGCAGGCCCCCTGGCCCGAAAATCAGAGACGAAGAGCGCGCAAGGGATTTCGATGAAACCAGAAAAAGTGTACGGACCGGAAACAAGGCGCGCTTAGCCAGCCGAAGAAGGGTGGGCACTTGCTTCAAACTGTTCGATGGAATACTTGCGGGCCATGGGCCTGTGGAGGAGACGACGAGTGCGTGCATTAACCTCACCGTCACATGCCAGCGCTTCGACTCATTCGTTGGTGGGCTTCGCGCCTGCTAGACGGATGCCTGTTTAGTGCTCCAGAGATTCGTTTTTTGTGGCGGGCCTACCTGGGCAAGAGTTTGTGCCAGGCACCACTGCCCGAAAGAAAATTGCATATTTTTTGACACCGCTTTTCGTTGACGTCATCCTGTCTCAATAGTCGCCTTGAATGGAGAAGGATGGTGCCGGCATGGCCGTCCTGGAGGGTTGAGGAGTTCTCTTCTCGGCATTTTCCAGGAACACCGCGTCTGGCTGAGTGTCGTCAGCTGGCGACGTTTTCTATGTTTGGGTTTCGAGCGTAGGCTCCAAGGGGGATAGGTGCTGAATAATCAATCGAAGCTCATCAAAACATCTTGTTAAGCCAGTGCTGGCAGATGACATACAACAAACACACTTCCGCTTCTTACCTACCTTATCAACCCAACAGTGGTCCACGAGCACCGTTTTTTCGAATCCAAGCCAAGACTCCCAGTCCCTACAGACCTGGAACGAGAGACTTTGGATCCTTTCAGATCGGTCTGAGGTGGATCAAGTCCTGGAATACTCTACTGCCTGACTGACGATGTCTAGTGTGTGTGCTTGGTTGCTTGTTTCGGGCGTTGGGGCTAAGTCTTCAGAACAAGCTTCTGTCTACCAGGCACTCTTTCTTTCTGTGCTTTTGCCTCTCACCTAGCTAGGACGACCCCGCATTGCAGCGTTTTAAGTCAAAGTGAAAAATTGACAGTTGGAAGTTGAAAGCCACTGCTTCGCCGAACAGGTCTCAAAAGAACTTTCAAGTTGTAGAAGCTGTGGGTACTTACAGAAAGACTTCAGTCAGTGAAACTTTTCGTTTGACCGTCCGCATCTATCCCAGGATTTCCAAGCGGTTTCTACAAGCCCCGACGATGGTTGCGCTCGCGGCTCCTACAGGCAGGGGCCTTCGGGCCATCTCTGCGCAGAGAACCAAGCCAGCAGTGGGCTCAGCGGCTGAAGCGCCCCCTTCCCTTCTCTTCTGACCTAGAGGCATCGGGGTCCTGTCTCGCTCTCTTTCCCGCGCAATCTCGAAAGGTGAGTGTGCTCAAGCGTTCAAGCTAGGACAGCTAGGAGGTAGCTATGCTGCCCTTACATCAGTTGTCCCCCCTGGGCCCCTGGACTTCCAGAACAAGGTATGCTACATTTTCCTTTGAGCCGCTTTTTAGACAATCAGGCTCGCTTTATGGCCAAGATCATGTGACGGAAGGAATGGGACACCACAGATTTTGTGTTGGCATTAGGCCAAGAGCTCAACTTGCGATGCCCACGATTCAGAGATGCTACATGTCTAGACCTATGATCTCCTTGTTGCGTTGGGCCAGCCATCTTCGGCGTAATCCGGCAGCCGTTCCAGCTGCGCAGCTGCACCGATGCAGCTTCCGTTCCAAATTTTACAAAGAGTTCTGGGTGTTGTGTCTACTGCGTCCTGGCGAGGCTTCTTCCCACATCCTCCGATCCAATACTCCCAAGCTTGCACCTGTGCAGGTGAGGCGTGTAAGGCTTTGCCGCCACACGATCTTTGAGGCGGCTCGCGCCTGCCCCATCACCGTCACCGGGGTCATCCAGACAGCAAGCTCCATCTCCATGGGAATCTGAAAAGACGGCGTCAAAGACGAAACGTTTATTGACCTCAGTCAAACACTTTCACCTTCGGCAGGCTGCCTGGAGCCAAGTGCCAAAGCTGCTTCCGGGCGACTGCTCTCTCCAGGTGCCGAGGAAATCGTGCCGCAAACGGAGCTTCTTCCAGAAAGGTTGACATGAAAATAGCCAGTTCAGAAACTAATCCTACTGTGGCAGTGCAGTCTGCCCAAACCAACTCTTGCAGCCTCCGTGCATGGATGTGTGACGCATGCTAAAACACATAAGAACCACACCCGTGTCGCTCTGGGATTTCGTTCCACCACCTTTTCTTCGTCGTTCTCGTCAAGATTCTTTGGTAGATGCATTCAAACTCTCCACAGCTTCACCTTGGAGGTCATGCTTCGTGATCGTAGCGGATCCACTTCTCAAGTTCGCATGCTGTCAATGTGACTGCCCTTCGGACAAAGGTAGTCCTCTATGGCCTGAGCGCTGACAACAGTTATTCTCGTTTTTCCTCGTCTCGACAAACTTCGGTAAAAGTGGCAGTGTTGTCGAATCAGTGGCCGTGCGGTCATTTCTATTGTGGCCGTACTGGAGCCACCACGTCTCACATCTCCGCTGTCGAGCAAAACAAAGGCTTTGGCCCCAGTAGCTAGAAACACAACAAAGCCAGCTTCGGGATGCATCAACATATAAGACTTTGATCGACTGATAGCATACCAGTAGCATACCATCACGAGTACGACAAGGCATGCCCTCCCATGCCTTGCCTGCTCCCCAGGCCTCAGTGGCAATAGCCATGAACCATTGCTCCAAGGTGTCAGAATGCAAAATATGCACAAGCTGCCGAGAGTCCGCAAAGCCAGCGTACACCAGCCACCCTGTGATGTGTGCACCTCTGACGAAGTATGCGACCGTTTTGCCTCTCATGTTGCTCCCGCCTGGCCTGGCGTCTGTCAATACTCTCCACCTTGACGGCTGCCAGCGGGATCTTGCTCTCTGGCATGACCACCTGTGTAGCCGTATCAACCCGCAGCGAAGAAGAAAAAGTTGCTACCGGGCCCGCCTGAAGCTGCGCCTCAGGCGCGCACAGCATCGCAATCTCAAAGCTTCCTCGTACCAGGATATCCTGCAGCAGGCTTTGCCGACCCGGCCCCCAAAACATCGAACGTGAGTGACTTCGATCTGAACAGTAGAGAGAGAGAGAGAGAGAGAGAGAGAGAGAGAGAGAAGAGAAGAGAGAGGGATAGAGTGAGAGCGAGATCGCCGGTTGCTTGAGGTGGAACGCAGATCCTGCATCATGATCACTTGAGAGCTTCTGAACCCTACCATCCGATCCAGCTACAAGCCCTGAAGATGAAAGCCTGCCCCGGCTCCGCCTGCTTATTCTCCCGACAGCATCCCTGATATTCTCCAGATCTGCCTAAAGGCCATGCTGGGCGCTGTCCTCTTTAGCGGCGGCTCCTTCTTCCGATGCTTGGTCACACAATCGCCGCTGAGCCGAATCTAAATAGCCGGGCATTGGAGTGGCCAGTCTGACTTAAAGCAGCGCGGGGTCGTATTACTCGGGGGTCATTATCTCTTGATGCAAACCCACTGACGTGTTCCTGCATGCCCTCAAAGCTAGTTTTTTGCTGAGGCGTAGAACCTCTCAAGCCTTGACTGCCAGACTGTCATGTTGAACTTACTTGCAGCCGAAAGAAACATCACGAATTTCCTTGTTGAGGATGCATCCATCCATGCATGAATTGCAACGGGCCGCAACTACGGATCTCACACACCCTAGCGATTGGATCCCTTTAGTAAGGACATGCCTTATACACGTACAGCCAGAAACTTCCAAACTCAATCAGATCCGTATTCCCAGCACCATCGTGCACAAGACATGACGACTCTCAATTAGGACTGAACCCTAGACACTATCCCGGACCCCAAGCCCGGCTTTACCGCAAAATCAATCCCGGCTTAAGCCCAATTCGATAAATAGACACCAAAGTGGAAAGCCCCAACACTAAATCTTGTTAAACGTGCTTCAAGCCTGTAGAGAATGGCCGGATGTTGAATAAACTCCTTTAACCCCACTCCCCCTTTCCAAAAAAAGACTGTAAGAAGAAACGAGAATGGGAACCACGAAAGCAAAGGGCACTAACAACATGTCGTTAGGTGGTCCGAGATGCCGATCGTAGCCCCAACGGCTGCTATGGCCCGGGGCGCCATTGCGGCCACCTTGCACCCCGACTGTGGGGCTTGGGTTTGATATTTGGGGTTTTGCAGAGTCGTTTTATTGGGGGTTCGGGGAGTCAGGTTTCGGGAACAGAAATAATGGTTGAGGATTTCGAGTTTAAGGTTTCGAGCGTACAAGGTTTAGGGCCAGGTTTGAGAGGTTTAGGCTGGAGAACTGTTGTTGGGGTGGGGCCATGGCCTTTGTAGATGTCTTCTTGATGGCCCTAGACCCTAAACCCTAAAGGGTTCAAGGCTCCGGGGTTTGGTAGCGTTCTCTAAACTCAAAGCCCTGCCAAAACCTACTTTTTTTGGGTAGGGTCCGGTTCAGAATACGAACCTACAAAAAAAGTCGGGTTTGGTCGTTTAAGGTAACCTTCAACCTTAGGGGTTTCTCTGAGGCTTAGAGACTTCTATGGCGGTCGGGAGAACTGTGCCCTGCCATCTGCTTGAAGATACAACTTTTCCGGGTGTTCCGTCTCAGAGATAATATCCGAACTCCTAAGACCTGACCTAATCCCAGAGAAAGGCATAGGACAGAGCAACGCGAATAAGAACCCTTGTGGTGACCCTTGTCGGAGCCGTTACCATGACCCAGTAGCGTTATAGCAACCCTTGAAGCAACTTGAGTTAATCGTAGGTGGCTGTCCGACAGGTTTACTGTTCATCGGAGGGTTGGATTTTAGGGTTTAGGATTTATGGTTTAGGGTTCTCCGGCATTCTACCTTAAAAATTACACGGGCCCAAAACCTATATATCTATATATCTATATATATATATAAAAGAGCTGTACCCCCAAGATGCCCTCCGAAACCGCGCCAAGGTTTTGGTGGTTTGGCTTAGTCCTGCACAAAGGCAAGTGGCGCTCGCAGGCATCTGCAAGCAGCTCTGTGTTTGTTTTTGTTTGTTGTTTGTGTATGTGTGTGTGTGCGTGTGTGTGAGTCTGCGCGCGTGCAGGTTTTCTGAAGCTGGAAACAAGGAGTCCGACCCTCCCATGCCCAGAAAGGATCTCAATTTTTCTGCAATTCAATACTCAAGCATCCCGAGGTGCGAGCCAGAACTCTATTTTCAAGTTGCTTCAATCTCCACCATCCGCGCCTTGTTCATATCATGCTGTTGCCGACTCTTGCAAGTCTCAGGCTTATTTCCTAGGGGAATCTGTCCGCCGAGCTCCGGACGGGCAAAGCACAACCCCTCCTCGCCTCCCTCCATGTGCTGGGTTTCGATGCCACTGTGCTATGTTCTACTGTCATATTCTCTTGTCTTGTGTAGTATCAGGTGTACTGTATTCCATTGCATGTGCGTTGTACTGCATTGTACTATAGCACCGTATGTAGTTTGCACTACATGACATAAGGGTCCCACACACTGGCCCAAGAAGCCTGAATTGCGGCAGGCCTTGATGACCTTGACTTGGCTGCGCCTCGCCGTCGCAAGATATTATCTAGCCTTGCCTGCCGTGGTCAGCATATGATCCTCCGGGCGTACACATGTCAAAGAGCGGCTGCATTGTTGAAGTATCAACTGCTGTTACAATGTTCCTGCGAGTCTGAAGGACGGCAGATCGTCCATGCTCTTGGCGACACCGGGTGATAGAACTCTCTCTGTCTCTCTCCTTGGAACCAGCACGCTTTAAACTCCCAGCAGGGTGACACAGCCAAGCTGGCCGACCTCCATCCGTCGTGGCAAAATATGATAACCGTTTCGATCATGGATGGGTGCTAATGAGCTAACCACGACAGTGAGGAAGATACTGATGACTGTGATGATTGTGGGGACGATTTCGATGGCGATGACGAGTGGTGCTTTAGTGTGCAGTGATGCTAACGGTAACGACGAGCAGGGCAGAGCGTTGGCATTTCATTCAGAACCGCGTTTTCAAACAGAATCGCTCACTCGTGTCCACCGCCCCCCCTGGCAGTGCCGGCCTCAATTCAAGAACCCAAGCTGACGGGACAGAATTACACTAAGCGGGGACAATGAAGGGATCGATAAGGAAAGTAGGGTGGACTCAATAGCACCACCAGCCAGTTGCGACCCTAGCCACGACAGCAACAGCACGACCACCAACACAACAGCAACAGCTGCAGCAACGACCGGGAACACCGTAGCGGCACATCTGGTGCCTCAGGTGGATTGGAGCAGATCTCCTGGCGGATCACCTCAACTGCGATCTGGATGACCTCGTGGCAAAGAACATCACGAGGCAGCATCTCCGCGGTTTAAGGTTTAGGGTTGGAGCCATGAATCCAAGTGCTTGAACCTCCTCGAAGCATGTTTCAGATCTCATGTCTATGCTTGAAGGACTTAGGCTCCTATTTGGAGGATCATGGCACATTATAGGTGATAAGTTCTCTAATTATTGGGGGTTGATAGTATGTATTCATAGGTGCCGTTACTTTACAACACCCATACTAAATCCCATGACCCTCCGGCGCACTGCGCTCCGACAGGCTGCACCAGCTCTGCCAGCCGCAAGGGACACTGAGAAAGCCTGATCCGAAGCCGCAGCAGCAGTAGTAGTAGTAGTAGTAGAAGCAGCAGTAGTAGTAGTAGCAGTAGTAGTAGTAGTAGTAGTAGTAGTAGAAGCAGCAGTAGTAGTAG